TTTTTATATATATAAATTCAGCTTGGCACTGAATTCCCTGCCCCTTTCTCCCCTTACACCTCATCAGTTTCCTACCAATTAATCTTTGATTTCATCCTTTTGTAAATCTTCTGGGCCCTAATCAATTGTTATTCAAAGTTACATTTCCTGTGGGTGTCAGATGATCAAGTAGGCTTATTACAAAATTCTCTAGAATGAAACTAATCAAAAAGGTCACAAAATATTATCTTTTGACTTTTTTCCAAGTTTTGAATAAAATTTAGGTATTTCTCATTTTCACCATAGTCCAATGCAAGTAACTCATTGTAGTAGTACAATGATTATCCCGATTTTCCAGGTGAGAAAACTGAGCCACAGTTTTAGTAACTTGAAGAGTAACCAGTAGTTAAGTAATTCAACGACAGCCACAGAATGGCTGAGCACTGGCTGTACTGGCGCTTTAGGTTATAAGAGTGAGGGAAGGCCTGCCACGCTGCAGGGTTCGAGCAACGACAATTATTTTTTCCATTGCTTTATTTCCACCCATTTATCTGGCTTCTAAATCCAAAATCCTTTTCTAAGACAGTTCACAGGGGTGGAGGGAAGAGCCTGGGCTGAGCTCCACATCAGGCTGCCTTTGCTAGCTGTGCTGTCTTGAGCAAGTCATTTATTAATTAGCTTCCTGGCCCTCTGTTCTTCGCTTGTAAAATAGCTGGAACCGCCTTCTCGGAGAGCAGGTGCTGGTGGGTGGCACTGGGGTAAACTCACAAAATAACCGTTGAGGCCGGAGGCGGTGGCTCACGCCTGTAATCCCAGCACTTTGGGAAGACGAGGCGGGCGGATCGCTTGAACTCAGGAGTTCAAGACCAGTCTGGGCAACACTGTGAGACCCTATTAATACAAACAATAACAATAATAACAAAAATCAGCCCGTCGTGGTGGCACTCGCCTGTGATCCCAGCTACTCCGGAGGCTGGGGTGGGAGAGTGGCTTGAGCCCAGGAGGCGGAGGTTGCAGTGAGCCGAGATCGCGCCACTGCAGTCCAGCCTGGGCGACCGAGTGAGATCCCGTCTCTAATAAGAAAAAGACAAAAAACACAAAGTAACCATTGAAAGATAGCGTCGCTGGTTGGGTTCACCACATCCCAGCGCAGGCGGGAGCAGGCTGTAGCAGCTTTAATTAAGTGTGCGTAAAGAAAGCTGTTTTCCATCTTCCTTGGCACCGCCTCCCACTTCAGTCCCCTCCTCGGCCCCGCCCCAGCCCTTCCCTCGTTGTCATGGAGGCTCCAGGACGCCACAGCGGGATAGTTCTGCTCCCGCGGCACCAGAGGCGGGGCACGCTATGACGCATGCGCTCGCTTCGCTGCCCTGGCGCCGCGGTGGCTGCCGGGACTGAGCTCCTAGCACCAGATCGGGAAGTGGCGGGCGGAGTCCCGGGTCGAGTCGTCGCCTCAGCCACCGCCGCCGCCGCCGCCGCCAGTGGCGAGACCCCGACCTGGCGGGTCAGCGCTGGGCGTGCGTGCGGGCAGGCGGGGGCGCTGACGAGGAGCAGGAAGAGACTGCATTGCCGGCGTGGGCAGCTGGCCGAGGCGGAGGCGCAGGAGCTGGGCGGCGAGTCGTGAGAGGCTGCCCTCCTCACTCAGGTAGGGGCTGCGGCCGCCGGGTGAGGGGCGCGGAGCCCCGGCCTGCTGTTCCCCAGGATCCAGGCGCGCCGCCGCCTCCCGGGAGGCTGAGCGTGACCTCCACCCCACGGGAAGCTGGGACCGCCGTTCTGGAAGCGAAACACCGAGCACGCGAACCGTTCCCCGGAGCATTGTCTTTAGGCCGGAGGTTCATTGAGCAAACTTTTGGGTTGGAAAGAGGGAAAATTCGCTGTTTGCTGCCTGATTGTGCCTCTTCCAGGCCTCCAAGTTCACGGGCGCGGTAGCCAAGCGAACCACGTGTGGAGTTTGAGGAGCCACGGGGTCCAGCCAGCTCAAGGCTGTGATTTAAAATGATGCTTGTACGCGGACTGCTTTCTGGGCTACCTTTTGGAGACTTGGTTTGTGATGATCCCTAAACTTTAACGGTAGTAGTTGATTTCTGCAGTCTAAAGACGTTTTCCACAACAATGCTGCGGCCCGCTTTCCGCCCACCTCCTCACTTCCGTCATTTAAGGGCGAAGCAGCCCGTTTTTCATGGCCGGATCCTGAGGTGCCAGGGACACTAACGAGGCTGGGAAAAAGTAAAACAGAGGGGAGGTAGGAAGGTTGAAAGAGGTCGAATGATGGCAAGAATCGTGGGCTTGGAGGCAGATTTCAGTTTAATTTTTGGGTTTTCCATATCTGCCCGCGGAGGCACCAGCCAACTCCTTGAGTTGTGATAGTTTTGTTTAATTGTAAAATGAACATGGTGATGTAACCTGTTTACTACATAGGTGGGTCCAGAGATCTAAAACGTACTACACATATTGAGTAGTCTTTGAAAAAGGAGGAAAAGTTAGGCGGAGCACGTGAAGACATTGCGAAGCCTTCTGCTCTAGATGCCTTTGAACGTTCCCGAACCTCATAGGTGGCCTTTGTTTTAAAGGCCTTTACCAGCATTCCAGGTCTGTTGTAAGGAGCACTTGAGTTAGGAGTCAGGAGGTTTGGGTTCTGGCCCTGGCTCTTCCATCTGTGCGACCTTAACCAGACAGCTTCACTTCAGATTTCATGTATTAAAATAGGAATGACACTAATACCTGTTTGCTCCTGGAGTTGCGAGGGTCAAATACTGTAAGCATTTAGTTTGTTGTAAACTGTACGGCTTTATTTACATCTTTTTTTTTTTTTTTTGTCAGACAGAGTCTCGCGCTGTCTTCCGGGCTGGAGTGCAGTGGCTCGATCTTGGCTCACTGCAACCTCCACCTCCCTGGTTCAAGCGATTCTCCTGCCTCAGCCTCCCGAGTAGCTGGGATTACAGGCGCCCGCCGCCACGCCCCGCAATTTTAAAAAATTTTTTAGCGGAAACGGAGTTTCACCATGTTGGCCAGACTGGTCTAGAACTCCTGACCTCGTGATCCGCCCGTCTCGGCCTCCCAAAGGGCTGGCATTACAGGCGTGAACCACTGCGGCCGGCCTATTTAAATATTTTAGAGTCGTTTTTTAAAAGTCCAGATTAAGATCCTGCCTTTGCAACGTGAAATAATAAGACACAAATGTTTCCTGTTCTAGAAATTTACAATCAACTTGTTGCCCCCACCTTCTCACTTAACAATTCTCCTTTCTTGTTCTTGGCCCCACGCTTTCCCTCCTCCCAAGGCTGTCTCCTACCTTCCTCAGCGCAGTAAATCGTTCTCTTCTTTCAGATCCAACTCGAAATAGTAATACTGAAATGACATATGTTTTTATGACTTTACTATTTAAAAAATAACACACGTTTTCTCATTCTTACAATTGGGCTGGATGTGGATAGCTTTCGCAGCGTCCTCATTTTACTTATGAAATTGAATGTAGAGGCCTTGTGGGTTGCCTAGCCAGGTGGCTCTTAGGAATTGAAACTGAGGCCAGGTGTGGTGACTCACGCCTGTTATCTCAGCACTTTGGGATGCTGAGGTGGGCGGATCACTTGAGGTCAGGACTTCAAGACCAGCTTGGCCAACATGGTGAATGAACCCTGTCTCTACTAAAAGTACAAAAATTAGCGGCGCGTGGTGCTTCGCACCTGTAGCCCCAGCTACTCGGGAGGCTGAGGCAGGAGAATCGCTTGAGCTCAGGAAGCGGAGGTTGCATTGAGCCGATTTTGCCCTACTGCACTCCAGTCTGGGCGGCAGAGCAAGACTCTGTCTCAAAAAAAAAAAAATTGATACTGAGAGAAGGCAGGTTTTTGATTCACTGTACAGTGATTGTTCACGCCTTAATTGGAATTCACTCTCATTATTTCTTACTAATGCTTATATTTTAAATTTTTAGCTGAATGCTCCATTTCCTCAAATCTAAGCAGCACGCAGACAAGGATTTATCCTCCATAACCTTTCAAAGCTTAGAGCACAGTGCCTCACAAACAGAAGACGTTTAATAAAGGCTTGTGAAACCAGTAATAATGGGACCAGAGCAATTTAAAGATGTTGTTCCTTGTGTTGTTCATTTAACATTTATTGAGCTATCTGTGCTTAGAAGCTTTCAAAGTATGAGTCTTTTTCCTCCCAGCTGACCCTAGTCTTAACAGTGTCAAATTCATTTATATAGTCAGCTTGAGGTCTTCATAGACCCTCTGCAAGGTTCTAGCAGAGTTCAGAAGAGAGGAGTGTTTAGAATTCTTCTTGGTTGACCTGTAGCTTCCCTGGTTGTACTGAAGTTGCTTAGAGTTGTAATTTTAGAACTGGACAAACAACCACAACATAGAAGTTGCCTCAAACCACCTCCCTCCAAATTGGAAATTTTCTGTAGACTTTTATTTTTTTATTTTTTTATTTTTGAGACAGAGTCTTGCTGTGTCACCCAGGCTGGAGTGCAGTGGCGGGATCTCAGCTTACTGCAACCTCCGCTGGACTCAAATGATTCTCGTGCCTCAGCCTTCTGCGTAGCCAGGAGTACACGTGTGTGTCACCATGACTGGCTAATTTTTGTATTTTTTGTAGAGATAGGGTTTCACTATGTTGCCCAGGCTGGTCTCAAACTCTTGACCTCAAGTGATCAACCCACCTCAGCAACCCACCTCAGCCTCCCAAAGTGCTGGGATTACATATGTGAGCCACTGTGCCTGGCTCCCTGTAGACATTTCTAACAAATAGTATAATAATTCAGCCTCTTCATCACTTAATTATTAAGAGTTCACCAGTTTTAAAAATATGCTGTTTTATTTATAAGCAGTTCTGATGGTTCTCTTTTTTTGCAGTGAGCCTAAATCCACCTCCTTTGAATTTCTGCCCTGTAGTCCTCATGTTGTTTCTACAGCAATGTTGCCCAATAGAAATATAATGGGAGTGGGAAGTATGAGCCACACATGTAATTGAAAATATTCTAGGCTGGGTGCAGTGGCTCATGTTTGTAATCCTAGTGCTTTGGGAGACTGAGAAGGATTGCTTGAAGCCAGGAGTTCAGGACTAGCCTGGGCAACGTAGCAAGACCTTATCTCTAAAAAGTTTTTAAAAAAATTAACTGTGTGTGGTGGTGTGTACTTGTAGTCCTAGCTAGTCAGGAGGCTGGGGTGGGAGGATTGCTTGAGCCCAGGAGTTCAAGGCTACATTGAGCTATGATCACGGCGCTGTACTCCAACCTGGGCAACACAGTGAGACACTGTCTCTTAATTTTTTTTTTAATAGCCATATTTTAAAAGAAAAATTGGTGAAATTAATGTTAACATTTTGTTTAACCCAGTATATTCAAAATAGTATCACTTCAACATGTAATGAATGTAAAATATCTTGTTAGTAATTAAAGTTTTTTTCTTTATACTAAATCTGTGAAATCTTGTGTGTTTCTGCACTTGAAAGTCCATGTTAATTCTAACTAGCCACATTTCATGTGTTTAATAGGCACATGTGGCTAGTGGCTACCATATTGGACAGCACAGTTCTGGAGCTTTAAAGAATAATTCTGTTTCTTTTCCTCCTCCTTCTTCCTTTTTTTTTTTTTTTTTTTGGAGAAAGGGTCTTGGTCTGTCACCCAGGCTAGAGTGCAGTGGTGTTATCACGACTCACTGCAGCCTTGACCTCCCAGCCTCAAGCGATCCTCCCACTTATGCCTCCCGAGTAGCTGGGACTGTAGGCACACATCACCATGCCTGCCTAATTTTTTGTAGACATGAGGTTGTCCAGGCTCATGTCTCATTTTGTAGACATGAGGTAGACCACGTTGTCCAGGCTAGTCTCCAACTCCTGGGCTCAGGCAGTCTACCCACCTCGGCCTCCGAAAGTGCTCGAGCCACTATGCCTGGCCTCTTTTTTTCCTATAATGGCTAGTACAGTGCTTGGCATGTAATGAGCACTATTGAAATATTTATTTGAGTGTATGAATAAGTGAATAAATACAAGTGCTAGAGAACTAATAATAAAAGGTAATTTTGTTTGGGAAGTAACTTGTTGAGATCTATGGATTTAGAGTGCAGGTTTGAGTGACTTGAATTTGTATTAAAGACACTTATTTTTTCTTTGTAGCATTATGGATCCAAGCCTGTTGAGAGAAAGGGAGCTGTTCAAAAAACGAGCTCTTTCCACTCCTGTAGTAGAAAAACGTTCAGCATCTTCTGAGTCATCATCGTCATCGTCGAAGAAGAAGAAAACAAAGGTAGAACATGGAGGATCGTCAGGCTCTAAACAAAATTCTGGTTAGTAAAATTGGTTAGGACTGTTTGGTTTTTCTTCAGATTATTCAGGAGGAAACCATTTAGTTATGGCTAGTTCATTTTTCAGTTCAGCTCTCCTGTTGATGGGCACTTTGTTGAATATAAAGGATGAGACAATAAGAGAATTTAAGCTCTTAGAATGTTAATAGTCTTGTGCTGTAGTTGAAATTTAGGTTATTACCTCTTTAAAAAAAACTTTATTCAGGTTAAATTTACATACCATACAGTTCATTCATTTTAAGTGTACTGTTCAAAGATGTTTCATAAATTTACAGAATTTTGCAGCTGTTATTACAGTCCAATTTTAGAACATTCCCATCACCCCTGAAAGATCTGATGTGCCCATTTGCAGTGACTTTTCCCACCCCTGCCCCAGAAAACCAATAATCTGCTTTCTGTCTCTATATGTTTGCCTTTTCTGGATATTTCCTATAAATGAAATTGTATAATAAGTGGTCTTTTGTGTGTTGTTTTTTTTCACTTAGCATATTTTTGAGTTCCATCCATGTAGTATGTGTCAGTACTTCATTCCATTTTTATTGCTAAAGAGTATTCCATAGTATGGATATATGTACCACAGTTTGTTTATCCGTTCACCAGTTAACGGTTATTTGGATTATTTTCACTTTTTGACTGTTTTGAATAGTGTTGCCATGAATATTCATGTACAAGTCTTTGTGTAGACTTACCTTTTTATCTCTTATGGATAGAGACTTAGGAGTAGATTTCTGGGTCATATGTCGAATTTATATTTAACCTGTTAAGAAACTGCTAAAATAGCTGTACCATTTTACATTTTCTCCAGCAATGTATCAGGGTTCCAGTTTTTTCTCATCCTTGCTGTTGCTTGATATTCTTTGTCTTTTTTATCTTAGCCATTTCTGTAGGTGTGAAGTGCTATCGCTGTGGCTTTCATATGCATTTCCTTAATTAGTAATGATGTTGAACATTGTTTCATGTGCTTATTGACTATTCATATATATTCCTTGGTGAAATGTCTATTCAAATTTTTTTGCCCATAAAAAAAACTGAGGTATATTTCCTCTTCCTATTGATTTAATAATTCTTTATATATTCTGGCTATCATTCTTTGATCTGATATACATTTGCAAATATTTTCTCCAAGCAAATGCTTGTCATTTTACCTTCTTAATGGTGTCTTTGTATGTACAAAAGTTTTTAATTTTGATGAAGTCCAACTTACCAGTTTTTTTCTTTTATTATTTGTATTCCTGGTGTCGTATCTAAGAAATCTTTGACACAGGTCATGAAAATTTATTTCTGTGTTTTCCTCTTAAGAGTTTTGTAGTTTTAGCTCCTACATTTAGGTCTATAGTATGTTTGAGTTGATTTTTGCCTATGGGTTAGCATAAGGGTCAAAATTTATCTTTTTGAGTGTTCTTATGGAGTTGTCCCAGCATCGTTTTTTGAAATGATGATCTTTTCCCCTGTTGAATTGCATTGCACCCTTGTTGAATATCAGTAGACCATAAATGGAAGAGTTTATTCCTGGAGTCTCAATTTGGTTCTGTTGACTTCTATGTGTGTCTTTATGCCAGTATTATTTCTCTTGAGTGCTGTAGCGTTGTAATTAAGGTTTGAGACTGAGAAATGTAAGCCCTTCAACTTTGTTCTTTTTTATTTCAAGAATTGTTTTGGCTTTTCTGTATAAATTTTGGGATCAGTGTATCAACACCTGCAAAAAAGCCTGCTGGGATTTCCATAGGGATTGAATCGAATCTATAAATCAATTTGGGGAAGAATTGCCATCTTAACAATATTAGATCTTCCAGTCAATGAATGGATGGCTTTTAAAAAATTTTTTTTGTAGAGACAAGATCTTGCTCTGTTGCCCAGGCTGGTCTCAAACTCCTGGCCTCAAGCAATCTTCCTACCTCGGCCTCCCAAAGTGTTGGGATTATAGGTGTGAGCCATTGCACCCAGCAGTTATTTTATTCTGATTCAATTTCATTTATGAATAAAATTGTTTTCTTTGATTTTTTTTGGGTTGCTCATTGCTAGTATATAGAAACGAGTTTTTTCATACATTGATCTTGTATTCTATAACCTGACTGAACTTGTTTTTTATTTCTAGTAGTTTTTTGTGTGGTTTCCCTAGGATTTTCTACGTCAAGATTATGTCATCTGTGAATAAGAACAGTTGTCTTTCTTTCCAGTGTGAACTTTTAAATTTTTATTTATTTTGCCTGTCTGGACTGGCTGTTTGTTGGATATTTCTGCAGGTTTTTGTACATGCCCTTTCCAGTTGAAGGTCCCCTCTATTTCTAGTTTGTTGAGAGGTGGGTTTTTTTGTTTGTTTGTTTTCTTTTCTTTTCTTTTTTTTTTTGAGATGGAGTCTTGCTCTGTCGCCCAGGCTGGAGTGCAGTGGCGCAATCTTGGCTCACTGCAAGCTCTGCCTCCCAGGTTCACACCATTCTTCTGCCTCAGCCTCCCGAGTAGCTGGGACTACAGGCGCCCACCAACACGCCCGGCTAATGTTTTTTGTATTTTTAGTAGAGATGGGGTTACACTGTGTTAACCAGGATGGTCTCGATCTTCTGACCTTGTGATCCACCTGCCTCGGCCTCCCAGAGTGCTGGAATTACAGGCGTGAGCCACCACGCCCGGCCTTTTGTTTGTTTTATTTTGAGACAGGGTCTTACTCCGTTGCCCAGGCTGAAGTACGCGGCGTGATCATGACTCACTGCAGCCTCGAAACTCCCTGACTCGAGCGAGCCTCAGCCTCCCCAGTAGCTGAGACTACAAGCACATGCCCACCACATTTGGCTAATGAAAATTTTTTTTTTTGGTAGAGGGTTTTTTTTTTGGTAGGGGGTTTTACTTTGGTAGAGGGTTTTTTTTGGTAGGGGGTTTTACTTTGTTGTGCAGGTGGGTCTCAAACTCCTCGGTTCAAGGGATCCATCCCCCTTAGCCTCCCAAAGTGCTGGGATTATAGGCATAAGCTACCGCATCTGACTGTCGAGAGTTTTAGTCATAAGTGGGTACTGGATGTTGTCTGATGCTTTTTCTGTATCTAATGAGATGATCATGTTCTCACCCTTTAGTCTATTAATATGGTATATTAACATTAATTGATGTTTAGATGTTCAAACAACCTTGCATTTATTCCTGGAATAAAATCCTACTTGGTTATGGTGTATAATCGTTTTTATTTGTTGTGGTATTCAATTTGCTGGTATTTCGTTCAGGATTTTTGCATCTCTATTCCCGAGGAACTTGATCTGTAGTTTTGTTTTTCTCTGGTGTCTCTCAGGGTAATTCTGGCCTCCTTGAACGATTTGTGATGTGCTCCCTTTTCGCCTATTTTCTGAAAGAGTTTGTGAAACTTTGTTATTTTTTAAAATGTTTGGTAGAATTCACTGGTGAAGCCATTTGGGCTTCAGCTTTCCTTTGTGGAAAATTCTTTGTAAGAATTTTTTCTTTTCAGTTTACTCAGATTTTCTATTTCTTTTTGAGTTAATTTTGGTACTTTGTGGCTTTTTAGGAATTTATTCATTTTATCATTTACATTATCTAAGGGTTTTCAAAGTATTCCCTTATAATCCTTTTGATTTCTATAAAGTCAGTAGTGATATCCCCTCTTTCTTTTTTTTTTTTTTTTTTTTTTTGAGGCGGAGTTTTGCTCTGTCGCCCAGCCTGGAGTGCGATGGTGCGATTTCGGCTCACTGCAACCTCTGCCTCGCAGGTTCAAGTGATTCTCCTGTCTCAGCCCCCAGAGTAGCTGGAATTACAGGCGTGTGCCACCATGCCCGGCTAATTTTTGTATTTTTAGTAGAGACGGAGTTTTACCATGTTGGCCAGGCTAGTCTTGAGCTCCTGACCTCAGATAATCCCCCTGCTGCTGCTTCCTAAAGTGCTGAGATTACAGGCTTGAGCCACCGCACCCGGTGCCCTCTTTCATTTCTGATTTTAGGAATTTGTGTTTTCTCCCTTTTTTCTTGATCAGTTTGGCTAAAGGTTCATCAATTTTGTTGATTTTTTTCTAAGAACCAACGTTTGGTTTCATTGGCTTTTCTGTTTTTTTTTTTTTTTAATTTTATTTATTTCCACATCAGTATTTATTATTTCCTTCCTTCTGCTTGCTTTGGGTTTAGTTTACTCTTACATTATTATCTTTTAAACAATGTCAGTCACTTAATTTACAGCTGAAATTGTTTAGCTACTTCAAATTGTAGTAATAATAATTTCTATTGATGTTAATTTTTTACATATCCTACAAGCTGTTTTAATAACTGATTTTAAAGCAAAGATTTTTTAAAAATCAAAGTAGGCCTGTCATTCTTATAATATATGTTAGGTTTGTCATTCCATTGAATTTTACTTAGAATTAACTCATTGTAAACAGAAATGTAAAAAACTGTTTTAAACATTAACATAGCCACTCTTAGGCTTAAGCCACTTGAGCCTTTGACCTGCTCAAGAATGTCTTTGCATTTTGTAGTTTAGGTTACAGGTATAGGGTAGCGAATTTCATCTTCCACACAAACAGGTCCCGGTTCAACAGCAGGAAGAGCCTTTCTAGGGCTTTACTTCTCTTTGGTTGGCCAGGGTTTTCCCTAACAGTCAGGATAGGATAAACTGTGTTGTGGTAAGAGTCCCAAAAATCTCAGTTTCTTAAAACAACAAAAGCTTGTTTCTCCGTCATACTACATGTTTATCATGGTTTGGCAGGAGTCTTAGCTAGTTATAGTCACTCAAGGACCCAGGCTGATGGAGCAGCTGGTAGCTCAAATGGTTGTGAGCTCTGTGCTAGCAGGAAAATGAACTCTGGAAGAGCTTGCACTAGCAGTTAAGTGCTGTGGCCTGGAGGTGACACACGTCACATCCTGTCACAGCTGATTGGCCAGAGTTAGTCACAAGTCATTCATTGGCCCAAGTTATGTTCCCAACCATAGGGGTCTCTGAAGTGAATGCTTTCCTTAATGAAGAGAGCTGGAAATATTGGGTGTAAACACTGAAGG